GCAAGTAGTTTAAGGGTCGGGGGGGTGGCGGGGGGGGGGGGGGGGGGGGGGGGGGGGGGGGTGTTGTCCTGTCACCAGAGCTGGTCGGGGCCAAACCCCCATCGGCAGCAGCTTCATTATTATCACCCCCTTGAACTCTGACCCCTCATCATCGCTCTTCTCTTACACACTAATTGGTATTCGGTGCAGGTAATTGGACCAGGCCTCCCAGCCCACATGACACCAGCCGGTACTTCATGAATATCTCTGTCCTCTGCGTGGGGACGGACGGAGTTGGATGGAGACGAAGGCACCTGAGCTGCGGATGTCAGATGTAACCAAATTATTAAAAAAAAAAAAAAAAAGACTGAAGGAATTCAGCGAGTGACGAGAGCTAACGTCGACGACGGCGAAGACAAAAAGTTTGTCAGGACAGGTTGAACCCTGAGGGTTTAGTGTTGACGTCGAGGCCACAGATGTGAAAACTTGGACGTTTTTGGTGAAATCATTCCACCAAAAAGTCCCGTCAATCAAGTGAAAGGAGGAACAGGAGCAGGAACGCTGACATGGTATTCCAAATTCTCCGGTGACAATCAATTTCGGCTCTTTCCAAATTCCATTCTGGGACTCTAATGACAAGGTCGGGGGGGTGGGGGCGGGGGCGGGGGTGCACAGTAGTCTCAGGTTGGTGGCTGTAACACTGCTGGTCTTTGATGACTCATTATTAAAACCCTCTTTTACGTCGATCGGCGTCTGGGTCGTGGATCAGATCGTAACCTGATTTTCGCGCTGCGGCTAATGGATCGTGTGAAGGGGTTTTTATTGAAAAGTTGGAAGAAGCTGAATGAGACCAAACAGCCGGCTGGAAAACTGGCAGTGCGCAGTGAAACGTTAGCCAGCCAAGGCTAATGTTTAGTACCACTCCACTTGATCTGTAGCTGAGAAATATAAGAACGCCTTTCACTGGGCGTGGGTTAAATCGAGCAAGCGATTGAACTGGAGAGGAGATGATGTCATCAAAGTCTAGGAGCGTTTCCATGAAATGGTGGGAAAAAAAAAAAAAAAAGAAAATAATAATCAATGCAAAAGCAAGACATCCGACCCGTGGTCATTGGTCAAACATGCACTGAATAAACACGCTGAGTCGACAACGATGAAAAAAAACCTTCACAGCTGTCAGCAGGTTCACGACCCCATGCAAAGACCTCACTGTCCATCCACCACTGAACCACCACCACCACCAGACAACGCACGGTCACAGACAGCCAATCACATCGCAGTCAGAGGAAACATGCTGGTGTTGGGAGGTAGAGAAGAAGAAGAAGTGGCTCTTTACTTTCTGGTGGGACCCGGTCCTTGTGTGGACACCCAGACAGGCTTCGATGATGTGGGTACAGCCCCGTCACGTGACCGGTGCCATCGCAGCCTGGCGTCGGACACCGACTTTCCTTTTTGTCTACGCGAGACACATCTGCAAGTAGAGGTGTGGCGATCAGTGATGACATCACAGGGTTGGAAATTCGTGTCAAATTGAACTAAAAATACTTGATCAATACAACCTTCCAGTGTCGATCGTGTTTCAATAATAAATCAATGTTTTACAAAAACTTCACAAGTTCAATTAAAAAAAGCTAATTGTTAATTTAATAACAATTTCAGCATTTTTTTAAAGAAGATTTGAAACAAAAAACACAGATTTTTGAATCACAAATGTATTTTTCTCTTTTCAATTGATATTCCTTTCAACACACACACACACACACACACACACACAGCGGATGAGATTGTCTTTCCCTTCTAGAAAGCTGCTTCTCTTATTTCACCCAATCCCAGATCAGATCAGTTTACCACCAACAGCTGGCAGCCGCGCTGCAACTGTACCGTCCACCTTAAAAAAAACAACCTTCACTTTTGCCCAAGGTCAAGGATTCTTCTTCCTGTCAACAGGCAATAACACTTTTAGGACGCCGGCATCTTAGAGGAAACTTTAGAATTTTACAGTCCAATAGGAGGCGATGATGTGCAGGTGAGAGAGTCCGAGAGAGAGAGAGAGAGAGAGAGAGAGAGAGAGAGAGAGAGAGAGAGAGTTCTATCATCAACTCTCAGCTGTTCGCGTTCAGACGGACAAGACCTGAGGAACGACGACGTCTTCAAGGAAATCCACCCGGGACACAAGTCTGGACGAAGGAAATGATCGACGAAGAAAATGATCGACGAAGGAAATGATCGACGAAGGAAATCATCCGACTTTTTACATGATTTTTTAAAGCTAATAACTATTTTCTTCAGGAGTTAATGATCTCATTGAGTTGGTTTCAGTTTTTTTTTTTTTTACGTCGTCCGTTGTATAAGGCAGGTAAACAACCAACCAGTTCTCTGGTCATTGGTTTCTGAGAGTTTCTGTAAAAAAATTACAAAAGTAACGATAAAAAAAATTAGAACAGAAATAAAACAGAAATAGTCAACAAGCCAACCAACCAACCAACCAACCAACCGACCGACCAACCGACCGACCAACTGACTGACCAACTAACCAACCAACCAAATTACCAACCGACCGAAAGACTGACAGACCAACCAACCAAATAATCATCCAACCACCCAATCAACCACCTAACCAAACCACCAGCCAATCACAGGAAGTCAAGGTCAAAGTTTTGACATTGGTCTGCTCTCACATGTACCTCTGCCTAAAGTACTTCTGCTGCGATCTTACGGCGTTTCGTGGTTGCGATGTTATCGTCCATAAATGAATTAAAAAAGTATTTTTCCATCGTTACGATGTACGGCGTTAAAACTCCTCAACTAGTTCGCGCATAAACTAGCGATGTGAACAAAGTTCAAAAGATGGGTCGACTAAGTACCTGGGGTGGGGGTGGGGGTGTGACGCCGAGCTCACCTACTCACACAGTTCGGAGTGAATCACCAAATGAGATCCCGTGTCTCATTAATCAGAAGAAAGTAGCTCGTTAGCCGGCGCGGCCGTCATCTGTCTGTGTCAGGTTAGGGCCATGTGAGTTTGGAACGTTACTGCGATGTCATGTCTGGCACCGCAGCCAATGAGAGCACAGGAACCTTATGATGCCAACGTGGCTCCTCAACGACGCCCTCATTTCAGACACATTATAACGATGACTTTGCGTGTGTCGGATGTAGTTCCCTGTTCACGCGCACACACAAGCGATGACTGTGCGTTCTGCCTTTTCACTGCGGCGAGCAGAGGCGGCGAAGTGGAAGACATCTTAGAAGCTGAGGATATCGATTGTGGCTGTGGACGCTCGGAGCTTTGCATCGCAAATGACCCCCATTACCATCAGCATCTCTGGATAATTAATGTGTCGTCAGTGGGCGTCTGTCACTGGTTATCGCTCATCCTGGTACTGTTCAATTTCCATCTCAGCCCCACTCTCGGGGCCCTGCCCCCCCCCCCCTCCCCCCCAGGAGCACCATGGTCAACGGGTGATTGCTCCGATCTGAGGACAGACGTTATCTGACATCACGGCCGCGTCTATTCCAACATCAGTCAGACTTGCGTACAGCAGGCCATCGTAATTAAGGTTTGTGAGGCGCCGCGCTACACCTGATGGGGGGGCGGGAGGGGGGGGTTTAAGGTAGAATCTTAGCCTGGAGTGAATTAGAGCGCTTCCTCTCTGGACGCTCTCCTCTGAACCTCCGCTGTGGGAAGAATCTAATGAGAGAATCTAAGGAGTAATTAACGGGAAGATGAGACGCGGTTACAGTCGGACCAGAGGAACTGTTTCAGTGTCTGTGACTGCCCCCTAGATTCTGGTCTATCAGGACCAGAATCTGTCGATACCATACAATATACTGCGATCAAAAATATTTACATCGAGGGAAACTGGACGAAGTAGGTTCTTATTTTTTTAAGACATTTCACCTCCTTTTTGGCTGAGAAGTGAAACATGGAAAAAAAATCTACTTCATCCAGTTGAGCTTGATGTAAATATTTTTGGATTAAATGACCTGGAGAACGGAGAACCTACACAGACAAATATATTGCAATATACTGTGATACTACAGTCAGGACGATATATTGATCCCCCCCCCCCAGTGTGATCCTAGTCTCAGACTCTGCCCCCCCCAGTGTGATCCTAGTCTCAGACTCTGCCCCCCCCAGTGTGATCCTAGTCTCAGACTCTGCCCCCCCCAGTGTGATCCTAGTCTCAGACTCTGCCCCCCCCAGTGTGATCCTAGTCTCAGACTCTGCCCCCCCCAGTGTGATCCTAGTCTCAGACTCTGCCCCCCCCAGTGTGATCCTAGTCTCAGACTCTGCCCCCCCCAGTGTGATCCTAGTCTCAGACTCTGCCCCCCCCAGTGTGATCCTAGTCTCAGACTCTGCCCCCCCCAGTGTGATCCTAGTCTCAGACTCTGCCCCCCCCAGTGTGATCCTAGTCTCAGACTCTGCCCCCCCCAGTGTGATCCTAGTCTCAGACTCTGTTCCATCTGAACATCAGTTCCTAACTCTGGAACAGAGGGATCTACATTTGGAATCACTAGAGAAGAAAGAAAAGAACAAGAACATGAACCAACACCAGGAATATTGGAGAAAATCAAGAACTGATCAATGACTGAGGACATTGATCTGGGATCAGGAGAGGACAGATCAGGAGATACTGTGTTGATATTTTCTTACATAAATATATACATTATATTTTTGAATACATATTGAATTCTGTATAAAATCAGGAACTCTTTGTTCCTAGCTTCTTCTTCCACGTACTTTCTCAGAGACAGAAAATACACAGATTTACCCCGAGCTGCAGCACAGCCATGAGATCTGTGGCCCTAACAGGCCGTGGAGATTGCCATTACTTATGCCTGACAAGCCAACTCTCTGATGTCTCCATGCTGCTCTATTTTAACAACATAAGCTGCTGCTGCTGCTGCTGCTGCTGCTGCTGCTGCTGCTCCCTGGATACAAAACTCCAGATCGGATGAGAAGCTTGTCCCGGGGTCAGAGTGAGTGTGGGGTAAACAACAAAGATCCTCAAACCACTCACCTTTATGGTAGAAAGGTTTCTTCAAGCCGTCGTGGAGGCGAGCTTTCCGCTCAACGCCGTAGCCGTGCCTGAGGCCGTGGTCTTCGTGGTTGTACCTCAGGCCGTCCCTCCTGACCGCCTCGGCAGCCATCTTGTCGCTCATGGCCTTGGCTCGCTCTGACTCCAGCGCGATGGCCTTCTCCAGCAGCGACAGGTTTCCCTTGGTCATGTCAAACACTTCCTCCGATCGGTCCGACGTCACCGAGGCGGTGTCCTCGTCAAAGTCCCGGTGGTTGATGTGATAGTGGTCGTCCTGCGCACAACTAGAAAAAGCTTTGGAGCGGGGGCTCAGCTGCTCCTCCAGCTTCATTAGATTGTCCATGTCAGAGTAGTTTCTGTCCATCGTCCGCCTGTTGTCTTGGCCGTGATGGTAATCCAGGTAGCCGTGATGCTGCGGCTGCTGATTGGGATTTCCGCACGAGAAATGATTTTCCTGGGGTACTCCGTTCCGGTCACTGGATTTTGTTTCGCTTAATTTCCGAGCCAAGTCGAAGCACTGGTTCCGTAGGCACTCCAGACTGCTTAGACACACTTCCTCGTCACTGTTCTCCGTTTGTCCGTTACCGGTGGTCTTATGCTGTCCGTTACCACCGTTGTGTGCGTTTCCACTGTTGTGGGCGGAGTCAGCCTCGCCCCCGTTCTCGGCAGTACCGCCCTCAAAGTCCTGACCCTCTAAGTTGTCGGACAACACAGCACCGTGTCCCTGTGCCAGCAGTTTGAGGGAGTCCACTGTTTCCCGGACCACGTCACTGTCCACGTCCAAACCAACGCCACTCCTCTGTGTTTCATCGACGTCCCCCTCCTCGTCTTCCTCCTCTTCCTCCTCCTCTTCCTCTTCTTCCTCCTCCTCCTCTTCCTCCTCATCCTCCTCTTCCTCTTCCTCCTCCTCTTCTTCCTCCTCGTCCTCCTCTTCCTCAGCACTGTGAGAGGAGTTGCTGTTCATCTCAGACTCCGTCATGGCTCGGATGGCGGCGTCTTCGGCGATCTTCCCCAGGTTCAGGAGGGATTTGGCCACCAGTTCATCGTAGTTTTCATATTCATCGTTGTTGTTGTTGTCCTTCTCCGCCGCCGGCCCAGGTTTGAACTCGCCTCCGCCACCTCCACCGTCGCCCTCGCCGCCGCTCATCTGATCTTCATCTGTGGGAAGGAAAGAACAAACACCTGGTCATTTCACTTCCATCATTCTGGTAAATCAGATTCCTGGGTTGGACCAGGAGCTGGGACGTTACTCTGAGAGTAAGTAGGAGTACTCCGAGGTAACTACAGTGGTTTAGGTGAAGATCCAGTGAAATCCAACAAGAGTGAAAAGACTTTCTGTGCCATTAAAAATAAATCGAGTTAAAGACCTAAATGAAAGCATAAGGAGCTGCAGTTGTTCAGTGTTTAGTTCAGCTCCAAATATTCAGAGAAAATATTTCAATATTTCAAAGTGGAACCAAAACTGCGGCACCAACACGGTGAACCCTGTCAACAGCTATTCATCGCTCACCGCGCACCGATGTTCTTTTTTTTTTTTAACTTTCTATCATCAGGACCATTTGAATTCCTTTCATCGTCTAATTGGTTCTGACGGACTGCAAAAGGTTACTGAACCTCTTTAGTCAAACATTTCAAGCACTCACTGGAGCACTTCCAATCTCTCCTTTTCACATTTCTGCCCCGAGCCACCGTGAGTAAATCACCGCGGCCACTTACATTCCTGTGGAGAAGCGGAACCTGGAGGCCGCGGCACGCAACAACAACAACAACAGCAGCAGCAGCAGAAACCAGAGTTTGACTGCTGCTAAGTACAAGCCACACGATGAGTTAGCAATCGGAGAAAGTGGAGAAGTCAGCGGTTGAATGTATTATTTTATAAACAGGAAGTTAACGTCCGAGGCCTTATAAATTTGTGACAGTTCTCATTGGTAGAAATGAAAAGTAAATCACACACCAATGTGTAAGGAGTAGGTGTAGGCTATCTCAAAAAGTCACTGGTCAGACCATGACAGTACACCCTCCAGTCCAGCAGGTGGCAGTATGCTCCTAAAAACCCACTATTAAAACGTCAGGTCCCTACGTAGGCTGAGAGACGTTCAGGTGTCGGAACAGAACGTGGGAAGAACTGGTTCCACAGACACCAACAGTGTTCTCCAGTGGAACTCTTTCCACTTCCTGTTGTTTCTCTTCTTCTTCTTCTGTTGTTGTTTCATATATTGACAGTTGTTACGTTATCGTTACATCCTTATTCCACACCCTCTGATAAGACCACGTAGCTAACCTCCGTCCGTCTTTCGCACCGACCTTCGTGGTGAGGCCGATGACGCCACATCAGCTGACGTGCAATTTCACCATCATCAATGCTCGTTCTTGAGGAGGCTAGGAGATTAGTGCGAGGAAAAGTTTGGTCACTAATGGCCAGGCAGATAGCTAACAGAAGAAGGTTTAAACTCTGATGGTGTCAAACGTGCCTCGGGAAAGCAATTTGAAGAGCAATCACACAGGGGACGGAGGAGCGAGACAGATTAAGAAACAAGCGACAAGTCAGTGGCTGCGGATTAGCTACGTGCACGTCTCCGACCAGAGCGCAGAAGACTCGGAACGTCACCAGACTGGAATCTGCTCAGCAACCGTTTCACCACTGTTGACTGACAGAGAACCCGACCTGCGGGTTCTCTGTCGTATCATGGGTCCTTACTAGCGATGTCTGGTATTAGCTTTTAGCCCATATTGTCCAAACACTTCCGATTCCAATATAGCGGGGCAGTGGTAGCCTGGTGGTGAAGGAAGGTAAGTGCGGCCTGGTGACGAAAGTGATTGGTTAAAGCAGTGATTCTGAATTATTTTCTGCCATGCCCCCCCTAGTGGACAGAAGTTTCTCCCCCCAACCACTGTATGAGTTGCTGCACCAACATTCAGCAACAATCCACTGATTATTAAAACAGATTAATAAGATGAGCTGAAATGCTGCCACCTAGTGGCTTACACTTTCATATACAGTGATCCCTTGCTATAACGCGGTTTACTTTTCACGGTTTCGCTACTTCACGGCTTTGCATTGTGCATTGTGTTCTGCATTCTGATTGGCTAAAAAGTCACTGCACTTCTTCTCTACCTGTGCGTCAATAACGTTGCGGTTTAATATGTACACGTACGTAAAACAGCTTGCCAAATTGACATTACGTACGTGCAAATTCTCTTGCGATTTCGAGTTTATCAAACCCCATAATGTCGACAAAACGCTCTGGACCGGCAAAAGTACCTGCGGGAGGGACCAAAAGGCAGCGGAAGATGCTGTCTATCGGTGATAAAGTAAAACTATTGGACATGCTAAATGAAGCTAAAAGCTATGCGGCTGTAGGTCGGCATTATGGAATTAATGAATCTTCCGTTCGTTTGTGAAACAAATGGTTGAGACTGTAAAATGGTTTGTTCGTTCTTTCTCTTCTTTTTCTGAGTATTTAATTGTAAAAAAAATAAAGATTTCTACTTCACGGATTTTGCCTATCACGGGTTCTTTTTGGAACGTAACCCCCGCGAAAAACAAGGCTTTACTGTACAGCTGTTTTTCCCCCCAAATTATTTTTAGGGCACACGTCATTTGGCAAAACTCAGACATTACGTTATCGGGTTTTCATTATCGAAGGAAAAACGATGACGATTCTTACAGCTAAGAATAATTATGCTAACATTACATAATTATGCTAATATCGAGCCGATAATATCGGTCACCCCTAGTTCTAACGCTGGGAGAACTTTTACATGTGGGTGAGATAAACATCGCGATGACACCAGGAACATCTGCAGCAGTACCAGCAGAACACAATGTACATGACACCATGAGTACTGTGTGTGTGTGTGTGTGTGTGTGTGTGTGGTTAGCTGCTACCAACCACAGAGCGACGGAGCTGTCGACAGGCTGAGGAGCCCGGAGCAGCGGTCCACTGTCAGACCTGCGGCTCAGGTACCGACGGTGGGCTCTAATGAACACCAGTCTGGAGAGATGTTTTCACGCGTCTACCAGAAAGTTCCAGTGCGACTGTGGAGACGCCACGTCAGCCCTGGTGGGTAGAGCGAGGCTCACGGGGTTAACTCACTCCCCTCTCAGAGCTTCACTGCTAATTGGTCTTGAAGGTACTGTCAGACCCAATCGTGATGCAAAGCCCGATGTGCTGGAGAGAAACCTGCCGAATCTGGTGTTAGGCACGGAGGGGGATTTTTGCTTTGTCAACAGGAATTGGTTTGGATTTTCTGGTGTTTATTTGCTGCTGTTTCTCAAGTGAGGGGGCGAGGACCCAATGTGGGTCAAAGAATACAGGTCATTGGTCCATAATTTTATTATAGTTAAAGCAAGGTGTCCCCTGTAAACACGGTGGACACCTGGTACCAGAATGAAGTAGTGTTTGGTCATAAAACCACGAGGATGACAAAGTGAAGCAGCCGCTTTGATTTGTCGTAGAAGTGAAACAGACACTAGAGGGCGCTCATATTTGTACAAAGTGTCCAAAATTGTCCAAACTTCCTAAAAAAAGAAAACCAATCCATGGTTTCTGTTCCAGTTTTTCTGACATGTTAGATTTAAACTTCTCTCCAAAACAAATAAATCTTTTTGGCTGCTCTTTAAAGACGGCCAACGTTGAACTGTTTCAGTCATGGGTTCAAGTCTCTTCTTCCCTCAGATGTTTCTGGGCCCATGGTACGATTTTATTTGGCCCGTGAGATCAAATGTGTACTAACGTTGCCCCCCCCCCGTGTTTATACCGGCAGGATTTCTCGTATTAGCGGTGTACGTGCTACGTTAGAGCACATGGGTTGTTGGGTTTTTTTTGTTTACATTAAAAATGAGCTGGAAAGACTACAGATAAAGAGACAGAACAAGAACCAAACACCACTGGTGTGAGTTTTATTTCTAATTTAATTTCTCATATGTTTATAACTTTCGTTCCAGATTCAACGTTTACACAAAACTAACGTTTGTTTCCATATGAAAAATGTCTACATCCCAGATCTGGAGAGGAGGGAAACGTGAACATTTACAGTCAATTTGTCAAGAAATTAATTAATATCAAGACTTCATCCCAGTTTTTAATTTT